AAAAAAGGGGTGTCCCCCAAAATTTTTAAAACCCCCCCCTTTTTGGGGGAACCTTTTTTTTGACCCTGGGGGGGTTCGCGGTTGGAAAAACGGGGGGTTCCCCCCCTGGGGGGAAATTGGTTCACCATTCCCCCTCCAAACAAAAAAAAAAACGGGGTTCCGCCAAAGGAGAAAAACCCTTTCCCTTGGGTGGGGGCCACAAAAAAAATTTTTTTTCCCCCCCCCCCAGGTCCCCATAAAAAAAAAAAAAAAAAACCCCCCAAAATTTTTTTTAAAAACCCCCCCAAAAAGGGGGAAAACCCCAAAATTTTTTTCCCCCCCCCCTGGGAAATTCCAAAACCCTTTCCCCCGGGTGGGCCCTTTCCTGGGACCCCCCAGGGCCCCCCCCCGGAAAAAATTGAAAAAAAAAAAAAAAAAAAAAAAAACCCCCGGGGGTTTTTTTTTAGGTTTTTTTTTGGTCCCCTTAGGGGGCGGGGGGGGTTTTCCCTTTTTCGCGTGGGGGGAAAAGAAAAATACCCCGCCCGGGGAATCCTTTTCCAAAAACCGGGGCAACCCCCCCCCCCCCCCCCCCCCCCCCCCTCTCTCCTCCATGCTCCGGTACAGGACGGCGGCGACGGCAGCGCCAAACTCCATTGTATCATTGCCATTGCAACGCACAAGCATCCCTTCCTCCGTTGTCAGCGGGTCAGAACACATCCTTGTGTAGCCAGAGTGCTCTCGTCTTCCAACGGAACACCGACACAACACAAGAAAAGAACATCAAAGAGGGAGCGTCCGTCGCATACTACATACTGTACACAGATATCTGTTTCCAACGGTAGTCTATTGTTAGTGAAGCAGTTGGGTCTACGAACTCTGTCCTTCGTATAACCCACGCTCCTACGTAGGGCCACGAACCTGCAAGCCTGCAAGCAGCAATGGTGTGCTGTACGATCACAAGATCACCAAGCCTAGACGCCTGTAGACTGCAGTACAGCAGTACCGCCGTCTCTCGCTGCCATAGACAGGATAGGTTTTAAAGTTTGAAGACAGGGACAGCAGTCAGGGATGGCAGTGGAACATTGATATCCACCCAAGACACGCAACCGTCCGTTTGCGGTGCTTATATCTTGTGTCCCGGGCAGGAGAAACGCATGGGCTATCAAGGGTACTCTAGACTCCAATGAATTCATTCGTAAGCATACCAGTGTCAACAGCAGTTGGGCGTTATATGATTCCGGTTGTACGCTGCTACATGTAGTGTATTCACAGTCGAACCCCGTGCTCCCCGTTCTTTCCCGCTCACACTTCAGTGCAGGATTGCCTGGCGTGATACGGTGCGATGACGATGCAGGCCTAGTCTACTCGGGAAACGCACGTACCCTCAGGGGAAGCGAGCAATGAGACCGAAGCCATACTTGCTTGAACAGCGAAAGAGTTTGGGCGGCAGTTGGGTTTGAAGCCGGCAACCAATACATACCCCCAGCGAACTGACCTAGAGCCTCGCCCAGGAAGACGTCCGTGTCAACACAAAGGACTCTCCCAGACCGTGGGAGGACACACCCGTCCGGGCTTGCTTTGTCTCTATCTCTATCTCTCTCTGGCGGCGGGAGACACGGCAAGCAGTGAGACGCACGGACAGCACACTGAGCACTGAGCACTGGAGGCACCGCAAACTGCAGCAATTTTGAATTTATAAAGGTTTCCGTTAGTCTTTTTGGCGGGGGGAGGGGACGGAAAAAAATAAAAGTAAGTATGCCGACCGGCGCTCAGCCAGGAGCGCCCTTGTCTCTCAGAAACATCTTAACCCCACTTGTCTCTCTCCAGGCCTTCTAAAGCTACCACCACGCTCTCCAAGAAAGGCACATCAGGACAAGGTGGGGCGCTAAGAAATCGAGTTTGAATTGGGACCAGGTTCACAGAAGGTACTACTCTGCTGCATATCATGATCGTGGCCAAGTGTATATAGTCCTGTGTAGGATGCGGTGGATCTTCTCAGGTACTGCTGTACCCCTGTCTCTGTCTCGCCTTCGATTATCTTGTGGGAAACGTGTGGTCACGTATATATGAAGGGAACATTCCTCGTGTCTGGGCCTGCTCCCCTTGTCGTGCTCGTTGAGTCATATCCTGATCGAGCCTACATATAGCCAACTGCTGCTGTGGTTGCATACAGTAGTCTACATACGTGTGTACACAGAGGGAAGAGAGTGCTGAATGAACTCTTCTCGCATTAAAAATTGAAGGCGAAGTACCGCAGGAGGGGAGGGTGGAGAGAGGCTCTTCTGTGTGACCACGGGTTGGAATAAGGGCGTGTATTAACGAAGTGCCGAAAATCAAAATCCAAATGGGCGCAAAATCAAAATCCAAATGGGCGCAAAATCAAAATCAAAATGCGTTATCGTGGAAAACTGAAAAAAGAGGGTCGTGTAGGTTAACGAGTATAGGAGACAGATGAGGCAAAAAATCAAAAAGACCTGGCACCAGGGGAAGAGCCAGCAACGCAGCGGTGATTTTTCTAGGGTGCGTTTTACGCTCTTCTGTTCACGTGTTAGCCGATATCTCGCCAAATACTCAACAAGTTGCCTCAAGAAAGGTATCCGGAAAGAGCTGGAAACATGGGCTGTTGGGCAATGCCAAGGTTTGGGGCCGTGAGGTGCCGAATGCGCCGTAAAAAAAGGTTGTGTTGAAGCAAAAATGCCAACGGTTGCGAGCGGTCACTTCAAGTTGGGTGTTTTGGGCCGCCACGGGTTGTGATATCCACCAATAACTTCCCGAAGAAGGAAGCAACAGCAACAGCAACGCCACGCGGCAGGAGGTACGTCTCTTCTCCATCTTTCAAGCCCAAGGTCTGCTACCGTGGAGTATCGTGCGTGTAGGGAAAAAAGTTTTGGTTGACCCTAAAAAATCCACGTCAGAGAGCGGATAGTTCAAGTTCGCGCCGAATGTCTGCTCACAGTTTAGTTTTTCAGCGATAACTCTTCGAAGGAGGAAGCAACAGCATTAGCAATGCCACGCGACGGGAGGTAGCTTTACCCACCATCTGCCTCGTACAAGGTTTAGATGCCTTGGGGTATCGTGAGTGTGGAGAAAAAAGGTTGCAACTACCCTCTCCCGCACGGAACAGCCCGAAAAAGCCGCGCAACCCTGTTCTGATCGTCAGTCCGTTCACCGCTTGTCACGATCGGCATTTTCTCCTCGAGTACCCAACGAGCCGGCCCGTTTTGTGGCTTGCCGGCGAGCAGAGTCTTCTGGCTACAAATAATGGCCATGTTGTCGGTGGTAGGGTGCCGATAGCCCCTCTATAAGCAGTATGCAGCAGGTCGTGTCGTACACTTGCTTTGCAGCGGCCTCGCGGCAGGTGCTCCAAGCCTTCGAAGTCTTGAACTCCTTTCCTTGTTGATTTTGATTTTGATAAAAAAAGTCCCCCGGGGACTTCTTCCTCCCAGACAGAGGAACTTCTCAAACATCAAAGGGCGTCGTCAGGAGGTAGCAGATATTCGACCAATCAGATCTCGATTTTGATTTTGATTTTTTCGATTTTGATTTTCGGCACTTTGTTCATACACGCCCTAAACGGCAGTAGTGCTGTGAGCGCTGATTTGAAGTGAAGAAAAAAAAAAAAAAACGAAATGTACCGATAGATCACCCGCAAATGGGGTCCCGCCAAACAGCGAGCATGATGACGAGGCTCGTCTATCTAGTCTGTCGTGAGCTTCGATTAGGTGGCTCCACATATCCTCTGGGGGCTTCACAAGTGTCCACAACAGCAGTGCGGTATTGTCATGCTGTACAGCAGCGAGAAGATAACATGACGTTCATCCTTTCCCTCCTTCGCCCCGCGTTCTTCGCCCTATTTTGCTCCATCAAACGGAACAACAGCTTTATTTCAACGTGACAAACAAACATGATAATCTTCGGCGGCGATGATGCCACATTCTTCTTGGGTGATGTCACCCAAGAGGGCAGCTCTGCGAGGTCGTTCGTCTCGCGTAGCGCCCTTCTTCCGCGACCGCTGGCAGATCGAGCGGCGGTCGCGGAGTAAACGTAGAAAACAGGGTGGCCTGTAGACATGAGAGCCTGCTCGGTATGCATAGATCCTCCGAAATATGGGTCTCCTACCGACAACATCGGGTATGACGAGGCTTATCTCTCAATGATAGTCTGTGGTGAGTGTCGATTACAGGTGTGGCTCCACCCATATCCTCAGAGTCCTCACTATTATATATAGTAGTCTATGTCCACAAGAAGGAATGCAACGTTGTCAACACGTAGCAAGATCGTACGGCAATCAGCCCTTCGGCCCGAAGCCAACTGACGATCGTGGAAGGACGCGAGGTACGATTAAGGCCATATAAGAAATGGTGCCTAGTGATTTGAAAAACAGAGTATGATGAAAGTTCATGTCCGACCCGCGACACCTCTGTCCACCGAGAACCGATGAACGTCTGCTACGGCACCTGCTGTCAGAGTCGTGCATAACATCGTCGATCACTCCGGCATAGCTCCACGCAAGTTTTGAATAAATCGCTCCTATTTGAATTTGAACGGAAGGAACGATGGAATACCTTCTTTCGAGAGCTATTCATTCGTTCATTTATGAGACTCACTCAACCAAAGCGTATGCATACAATAGAAGGAAGGAACGGGGGGACCTGCAGGCAACTATTCCTCGCGATGCATTGCTTGTGGAAGGAGTAGAGAATTTGAAGCACGCGCACCGGTACTGCTGTTGGTTTGAGGGTCTCTGTTGAATTGCTAGAACAACAGCGTAGCATTCTTTCGTGGTGGCAGAGTAGTGTTGTTGGCTTTTGTTGAATCGCTGGCTAAAGTATGCTACGATATTCACGTCATCGCCATTCTGTTGTGCCAGGAATGCTCCTGCTCCCACTTCAGATGTATCTCACATGTTGTAGCTTTATCCTATAGTGCAAGACAGAGGGGCGTCGCAAGGTGAACCGATAGTGTGCAATTAGCAAACATCTCATGATGCCAAGCAACAGCGCCGGAGACGAAGATTTATTGTCCTTGAAATGTTAACGCCGCTTCCCTGTGGTTATGACGCTTGAACTTTTTAATCCCCATGCACGTTTTGACAGCGAGGATAGCTGATGTCCTGTTCGCCCTCCTGCTTACTGTTTCCGGCGCAAATTCCAGGCCATCTACTGTCACCCTTGCTCTGGTGCATCCATCCATCCAGCCCCTTGCCCGCTCAGCACCACTCCCCCCCCCCTCACGGTATGGATTGGCATCGTTCGAAGGTGCTCGAGCAGTACGTCCTCACGGATATCAAGACGAGGATGGGCACTACAGGCTACACTTCGGTAACAAGAGCGACCCCGACCACGACGGTATTGCCGTCCCTTCCCCGTGTGCGAGGCTTTTTTCGAAAAGGCGTTTGCTACGAAGGGCGGCGGCCGTGAAAAAACTTGGACGTCATCAGCGACATGTACGTTGCCTTTCTTGATATGTGAACTAAGCTCTATGGGGCTGAGGGTTTTTGTTGTCTTTAGCGTATTCTTCTAACCCTATCTCCCCTGGTGTACTGTCGGCAATGTGTCAGGCCGATAAGCGCTCATTGGACGTGTAAGCTCTGCCGAACGTCCGACACTCTCGTCTATATTGTTCCCGACGCGTTTCCAGCCTTTTAAATCATTTTCCCACATTTTCAGCGTCCCCTGAAGTTGCTCCTAGGCAGTCGACGCGCTGGTGGTTTGTCGTGTTATGGAATTTGAATGTAGCCAGTGCCAACGGTATTGCGGAGTAATTCCCAGAGGAAAGTGCGGGAGATGTAACTCCCGATGGAAGGATAAAACAGGGGACAGGACCTTTGTGGCCCCTTTTAGAGGGAGCATGTTCTCCCCCTCTGTGCTCAGTCTACCTTTGAGAGCAAAGCAACAGCAAGCACTGCTGTTCCAAGAGATTAATAAACAAGTGAGTCTTCATCAGGGTCTTCAGGGATCGCTACGCGTGTAATCCCACAACATTTGGCGTGTCTGCAGTAAAGGATTTTAGCCTTCCCTCGGCTCTTTGGTTTCTCAGTTGCTAGCGTGAGAGCTCGTTTTTGCTCCACTGGCTATACATCTCTACCGCGCGGTCTTGCTCCTGCTTTCCTTTCTTGGTATGTCTCATCGTAGGGACGGCAGCGAGGACTCAGAGTCC